GCAAGAAGACTTTAGCCTTGAATCTAACCGCCTTCCGCTCAAATTTCGTCTACAAGAGCTTCGGTTTCGCCACTATTACGCGGACAGCAGAAGCATGCATATACGTATATATCCCGGCAGGCGCCACACTTTTAAACGAAGACATACTGTTCAGCGAGCATTAACTTAATTCAGCGGTAGTCTTGGTCGCGTTATATCCTTACAAAGTACGACCATACAAAACAAGGGCGCACGTTTTTCTCGCCGCGCCGCCAACGGTTTGAAAACAAAACAAAAATATAAATTCATAGAGTGGCGGAGAGGGGCCAGTGATGTCATCTCGCGTCCGCAACCGGTTTTTGTTCCTCGTTGTAAGCTGCCACCGCCACGGGGAGCGTGTGGTTTTACGGACGAGCAGGAGACACGAATCGTGCAGTCCACCGACTTTTGTTTGCGGATGTCGGCTCGAGTTTTATGCTCCGAAGCCACGCCATTGTCACTCCCGCGTTTCTTCGGCGTCCAGTTCCTTTCAAACGTGCATAATGATTCTAGCCTCTAAGACTATGCCACGTCGATTGCAGTCTGATTCTGCCGTTTAATGTCACATGCTCCTTTCCGTTAACATAGTGTGATTTGTCTTGCTTAAAAAATATATAGCTCTTTTTAAGGATGTATGATTACGGTTAAATTAATATATATATATATATATATATATATATATATATATATATATATTTTTATGAAGCTACAGTTACTTTGGAGCATGTTTGTTTCTACATATGTGTGCTTCGAAGATGTCTTCAGACAGTTTTTGTATGACCGATGTGTGACAGGTTATTCTACCATAAGGTGGTCCAAGTAAAAACGGTAAACATAACGAATTTAGAAGTTTATTGCCTTTCAAAAAAATGATTTTTTTTTAAGGGAGAAAAAACATATTGAGCTCTCCCGTCACAACCCGGACAAGTTTCTTAGCTCCTCTTCACCGCACAGCACACCACTGTCGACATTCTAGCCGGACGAAACGCACGATTGTTTGTCTTGAGCTGTGTTTACCACAGGTAGACGCAGAAAAGTTGTGGTGTATATATTCATGGTAAAAGGCTTGCTTCTGCTTCCCTGGCTTTCCAATCGCTGTAATTGGAACCGTAGTCTACGAAAACAACCTGGTCTTAAATCAATAAAGATTATTCCTCCTCCTCCGGCGGAGTCCTCTTGTGATCTAGCGCGGCTTGTCATATCTGCTGTTTGTTTTAACGCTATCGGGGCAGCACATTCACCAGCAGGTCAGTTATTTCACACCGCTATTTGGCCCTCTTGTCAGTGTCAGGACACACGTAAGCATCAGGACAAAATCCCCATGAGTAGGCGATATGAAAATTACCGGGTGTTTCAAACAGCGACCAGGCACTTTAAATCGATAGCAAAAATCGGATTATTAACCTATCGCGTTACAATTGTGTGCAGCGCTGCCCGCAGGTGGTGCTTTTTTTCTATACAATTTGCGAAGATCGAACTTACCTGAGGAAAAAGTAAACAAAAATAAAGTCCTAGCTCCCATGAAAACGCAGCGAAGCCACCGGTCTTCAAACTATAGGGCGCCCTATTGTTTGAAGACCAATGCTTTTGCTGCGTTTTCATAGGAGTTAAGCCTTTTTATTTTTGTTTACTTTTTCCTCAGACAAGTTAGATCTTTGCAAGTTTTATAGAAAAAAATGCACCATCTGTGGGCAACGCTGTACAAAATCGTAGCGTGATAGGTTAAGAAACCGATTTTTGCGGTCGCTCTGAAGAGCCTGGCCGTTCTTTGAGACACCGGGTATATGGTGTTGAACAGATCGCAGCAGCACTATGCTCTTTGTCATGCGGCAGTCAAAGGCTTACGCCCCGTTGGTTTTTTTCTGCTGCTGTGATTTTCATTGGTGAAATTTCTGAACTAGGACAACAAGCCTAAAATCGATTTTAAAACTGAAAATTCTTGTGTCTCTGAATAGGACGTAAATCCAGTAAGCAGCGTTGAAGGTGATGCTAGTTTGAAGTGATGAAAACTCCATGGTCCCCTGGACCGGGACCGCTGAGCTGAATCCTGTTTTTAATCAGGATCGCTTTTCTTTCTCAACCATTTTGTTTATTTTAGAGAATTGTAATATTTTTAGTGTTATTCTAAACCCAGGTGAACAGCCGATAGGGCGTCATAATTTGATTCTGAAAGAGACTTTGAATACTGGCCCCTGCTGCCAAACGCTTCACTGTTTCCCTACTCCGTCGCAAGCACTCTTACCGTGGGATGTAGGGAAAAAATTCCACTCAGCGGAAATGCCGCAATCATTGCAACTCAAGAGATCCGTTGGAACATTAGGATGAGTGAACTAGAGACAACTATCATCCTAGTTTAGAAAATTAAAAATTAAAAAAATGTCCTACTTACACTCGTCAGCATCCGCGCACGAACCGCAGAACGACTTGATTGTGCCGACTGACCTGCTTCATTCATCGTCATAGCACCGTACTCTGACGAAAATTGAACTTCTTTCTTGGCCAGCTTCCCGATCATACAAGTCAGTGGTAAGGTCATACGAAACAAGACCCCTCGTTCTTTCTGCGCTTTCTTACAGTCGGTCCTTTCCTTTCAAAAACATTTCACCTTACGATGTACCGCAGCGGACGCTACGTGGTACTGTAGCCAATCCAATGCCGTGTTAGTGTCACGTGACCTTCGAGAGCGCCGCAGCGACGCGCAGGTGATTTGATGCGTGCACAACGCTGAATTGGCTGCGATTGTTCGTAGCGTCCACCGCAGTCGGTGGTAAAATGGAACGGAGCATAGTAGGGATCTCGCTCTATCGTCATCACGCTTCCTGAAGAGAAGTCCCTGTCAGGGGACTTCTCTATTTTAGGGGACGTTTGAGATGAAATGACCCATTGACATTTATTCTGAAGATAACAAAAGGGGACTCTGTGTATAATGACACGTCGAAAAGAAAAGAATCAAGGTTCATCTCGCAAGCGGAAGACTGTCGGCACAGTAGGTGACATATTTCAGAAGGAAACCGGCGTTTCGACGTGTGGCGTTCGCTCGCAGTCAAAGAGCGAGCGAAACGAAAACCGACAACGGACAAAACGACTTTCATTCAGGAAGTACTAAAGGACGTCTGACTTTGAAATGCGCACCGTCGCCTCAGCCGCAGTGTCCTTCTCTCGTGGCCTACGTGTTCTCTCTTTTTCGTTCTGTTTCTCGTCGGCCTCTTCACCTGCGGAACAGGAGTTTCGAGAATGTCGTAATGAAGTTGGCGGAGAATCGGTCGCGGTTTCGTTCTGTGGCTTTTAAGAAGAAAAGCTGGGGACCGCCATTTTTCTTTTTCTTTTCCTGGTTTGTCTCAAGACGAGTTTGCGAAAACAACAAAAAGAACAACAACAACAATAACAACAACAACTACTACGAGGACTCCTCGTTATTTCGTTTCCCGATAGACTTGACATCGGGGAGACTGCCGTCTTAAAGGCGGGTAAGGCGTCTCCAGGAAGTTGTGTCTTATCTCATTCGAACAATGAGGACGTCGCCAATGCGGACGTTGTGGTGTGTATACGGTGTGGCGCATCGATGCATGCCGGAATCGAAGCAACGCATCTAGAGGCTGCCGATGAAAACGGAAGTTTAGTCGCCGCTTAGTTTTGTGGCTTTTTTTATTTGTTTTCTTTCGTTAGCGAGTGCGCGGGACTGGAAACAACAAGTAGCTGCATTCCGCGTTTGAGAACAAGCAGGCTCGTACGCAACGTCGTGACGTAACGAGCTTTTATTTTCATCAGCACGCGCGGCCACGGTCGGTGTATGTTCAACAAAAACAAGGCGAAAGAGCAGCATCCAACAAAGACGGCTGCTCTTTGCGAGAAACCAAAGCGGCCGTCGCGAGTAATAAAAGAAATAACCAAACCATTTTATACGATTGCCTTTTTTTCGTTTGTGTGCGCGAGTGTGTGTAGGAAAAAACAAAAATGCAGACGTGACAATACTTATGTAAAGAAACAGTAGAAAAACAACCCGTTGGTTCAATTGCACGATTTAGGGGTCACTGGAGCTTGTGTGGACGGGATACTTTGAGTCGGCCTGTAATACAGGTGAACCAACAGGCTGATATCAAACTGCCTCATAAGTTTAGGGGCCTCTAAACTCGTCGAACACAAAGTTGGGGCCGAAGTTCACGGAGCGCGCTGATTGGACTATCACGATGATGACTTCGCGCTTTTGTCGCCGGCGTCCAATCGGCGCTCTCCGCGAACTTTCGGCTCCAACTTTGTGTTTGACGAGCTTAGGGCCCTAGGACTGTTTTGTAGGAGCTCGTTTTTTTTTTTCCTCGATTGTTACACAAAAGCAAATTTATTAGCCCACTAACAAGTTTAGACAGTCATCGAACTCGAAACAGAAAGTGAGATGTGCATACGGTCTGTAACAGCAACGCGGGGCTTGGCGTGTACCGGACGTCTACTTACAGCTCAGCAGCCAATGAGATTGCAGCGTTAGCCGACAAGAATGCCCAATAACCAATCACGCAGCAAGAAGGGTGAATTAATATAATAGGCCACGCCCCGCGTTCCTTAAGCTGTCGCTGACCTTATAATTAATCTTCAGACAGGCAACGATATGACGTTAATGTTCGAGTATCCTCATAGATAAGGAAAACCCTGAAATTTATCGAAACTAAAGACATTCTACTGTTTTTATCGTCTTTTTTTAATTGTCTGGCTCATAGAAATGTGCACGAAAACGACAATTTCGAATGCATTTTTTTTTTGTTCTCGACGTTAGTACGGATTAAATCGCAAGCGACAACTTTCTTTCATAATATACACAAACAAAAAGTATAGAAAACAAAATGTCAGAACACACACAGAAAGGACTGACTAGACTGTTATCCTCATCGGCTGTCTAATTAGCACCTGAAAAGCGCGACGAACCTTTTTCAGGTTCAGCTACACTCAACTTGAGCAAACACCAAGTCTCTACGCCTACTTTCATTTTCCCATCCGGAAACACAACTGCTGCAATCGCGACGTTAAAAAAAAAAGTAAAACAAAAGCATTATGAGTATTTGTGAAACAAGTATCTTCTCAGCGTCTAAATAGCATTTGAGCGTCTTGCTTTGTTGCAAAGCTATTTCATCAGAGGATGTTGTTTTATGCCGCAGGGGAGCATTCCCCCAATCCCAACCGTTGTTGCGTAAACATTCAGACTTTCTCTCGCGAGTATTGGTACATCCTAAACAAAAGAGGGTCTGTGAGTTTGCTTTCCTACAGAACACGAGACAACGAATCCCCGGCAAACATTACAAGAATCTCAGCGAATCGCAAAACTCAAAATATAATTAGACAAAAAAAAAAAAAAAAATACGAGTTGGGATTTTTCTGTTTCGTGCCACGACTGGTTGACTCCGTGTCCGCAAAAAAAATTACCTCACAAACTTTTTTTTTTTGTATAGAGTTGAATCGCTGGCAAACGCGTATTTGTCGATATCACGAACATGCCGACGTACGCAAAATATTGGCGCGACGCACGCATACATTCCCAAGTCTGTCGAAATCGGCTATACGCGAGCTGAAGATCAGCATCATGTTGGTGTTGGGTGGCGGCGCACTCGAAACTGCCGCGAAAAGAAAGGTTGTACTGGTTGCTGCGTGTCCGGGGGCGACTTCTAATATTCTGTCGAGCCGTCATCTGAAAAAGAAAAAAAAAAAAAAGCCACCATGTTACATACACAATAGGATGAGTGCGCAACAAAGTTTTGCGGCACGTTAAAAAAGAAAAAAAAAACAAAAAAAAAAAAACTGAGGATAAACGAGGTAATGTGATATCGTTGACTAGAAAATATGTACCACGAAAATGTAATAAAATATTCAATACTTAGAAACAGGTAACATGCTTTTAAGATTACTACAAATTGGAATTGGCTGCAGAAAATTAGTTGATCAGTAATTAGGGCGTAGACTTTCCGGTGTTAACCGAAAAAAAAAAGTAACATCCGTCAATGTCTAAAATACAAAATCGGTTGAAACCGAAAACACCCATTGGATTTGGATTTTTGCTTCTGGACAGGTTTTTGGCAAAACCTCTCTGACTTGATGATTAATGATCTTAATGAAGTTGTTATTCAAGCAAATTATTCCTTCGAGTATAAATACCTTTGTTCGACGCTCTTACGCGGTTGGAAATTAATGGCTGCGATAAATAAATCAATGATCGTGTTTGTAGAAGTAAAACAAACAAAAAAATATTAAAAGACAGAACAAACACGTAAAACAAGGGGCAAGCGTGAAAGATCTGCTCGTATCGTTTTTCGTGTGTCTATTATTTTATTTTGCTTTTTTTTTTTTTATGAAATGGACAGGGACGCGGTAGCTTGCGGCCGTACAGTCACACAAAGTCTTCCGTTTGTAACATCTGCTCAACGGCCTACCTTACCCTGCATCCAGCGTCAAACGTCTAAAATGGGGGAAAAACAACAGCAAAACATTCCACTAAGGTCATTGACAGCTTAATAAACGTAGGGACTATAGTATATTATATTCACGCTTTCCGTATCGTGGTGGGTTGTCGGTGTTTTTATTGGTTAATGGCGCAATCTCATCGGCTGTTGAGCGATAGTAAGATACTTGGGGGTTCACCACGCTCTGCGTTTCTTAAATTGTCGGTCACTATACTATAGGTATAATTCGTATGGTGCTCGGATGGCGTCTCCAACTAATGTGAACACGGCATAAAAAAAAAAATGGTCTCTTGATTTTCATCTTATGACATCATAGAAACGTCACGCTGCCATCGGTCGCGATCCTGGCGGCGCCTCAACAGCTGTGGTGGATGTAGCAGACGCCTGTTCTGCTGCAGGTGGCTCTCCAACTTGACAGTCCGCGGAAGCTTCGACCGACAGGAGTTGGAACGCCGCGACGACAGAGCGACACACGAGTTTACTCCTGTTTTTGACCGGAACTGCCACGGCCAACCGCCAGGATCGCGACACCTGACAGCGTAACACTCCGGCTTTTGTGACGTCATTTGTTGCCCCTTCGGGACCGCTGCAAGTTCGTCTGCTTCTTGTGCAGGAGTTGTGGTGACGTCGGAAAGACGCCGAGCTCTGATTGGCTCTGATTGAAGGCTTACCCACTATCCTTCCAGTCAGAGCCAATCAGGGCTCGGCGTTGTGACGTCACCAGAACCCCTGCAAAAGAAGCAGACAAACTTACGCGCCACATTGGACGCTGAACACACGAGTCGGAGACGCGTTCCGGGAAGCGCAATATTAGTTATGCTCCTATTTTAGAGACTGAATAAGTCTGAATATTTTATAGACTGAATAAGTGCAAGCTTGAATAAGTCTGAAGACTTTATAGACTGAATAAGTGTAAGTCTGAATAAGTGTTATTAACTAACATCCTGTTTACAAATAAAAACACATTTTGACTTGACTTGAAAGTATCAGAACGGTGTAAGATTTTGGCACTGAGTTTAAATTCTGATAAGTGTGTCTAAGTCAATTGTGGAGCGAAGGACGATCTAGTCCCAATCATGAAATTTTATTGACGATAAAAAATTACGTTGCAACACTAATGCTCAATTTGTGGGACTCGGTTTCTTCTTTTTATCTTTATGTCACCCAGACCGTTAAAAAATCTGGCTATACTCTTCGAAGTTTCTTATCCTAAACTTTGTATAAAGCCCTAGAGAAAGTAAAAGAGATTCCCTAAATCTCTTTGGCAAGACTTGCTATTTAAGGCACGTGAGGGGAACCTCATCAAATGTACCTTGTAGATAAACTATAGAAAACTGAAAAACTGTGCTGCGAATGGCAAAGCTGAGGGCATGCCATGTCTCAAGTCGCGCGGACCATTTAAAAAAAAAAATATTTGAAGAAACATTTTGTGCAGCGCCTAAGTTAAGAAATATTCATTACGTCCCTCGTAGAAGTACTGAGTGGAATCTGCTGCTGCTGTCTTGGTTTATGTATAATGACATGGCGTCCTTCCTTTCGGATAATAAACCTGACTTTTAATCTTGATGCTTCTACAGTATCTACCCCATTTTCAATATCAGTGCATTTTCAAGAACAGAGTTTGTGTTGCTTTCTTCTCGCTCTACCCGCTGTAATGCGCCGCTGGTTGTTTGGTGTAAATATTAAATACCAACGAACACAAATATATGCAGGGTGTTTCTTTTTAAGTTAGACAGATTTGTTTAAAAGAAGCCGTGAAAGCTACACTAATGCAGTTTCTGCAGGTGAGTTGTATGGTTAGGGAGAGAGAGAGACAGAAGTGTTGAAAAGAAAGGAAGCCTGGAACTTATGGTTGGAGAGACACAGTGTGTAGGGGTGCTAATCGTAACGAGCAGTCGACTAATCAACTAAAATATGTCAATTAACGCTTTAATTATTTAAAATGAACAAATGGTTCTAATTAGAAACTTGCCAAGCTTCATCGAAAACAACTGGATCAGTCAATATTAGAAAGGCTCGGAGCATGCGGGAAGCACGGTGGAGCGCTAAAGTTACCACACGTGCAACAGACGCAAGGCTATAGCGGTGCCACAACGCGCGTGCGCAGTGTTTCCCTCTCTTAACATAGGTCCAGCCTTGTGCCTGTTGCACGAGCGGTAACTTCAGCCCACTACTGCGCTTTCCGCGCCTTTTTTATAAAAAAAAATACTGATTTAGTGGTTGTCGATGGCGCTCAGCAAGTTTCTAATTGGAACCCTATGTCTATTCTCACAAATTAAAAAAAAAAAGTTAGTCAACAAATTTTAGCTAAATATTCTACGTATCGTGACGATCAGTCCCCTCCATTATGTTCCCCTGGCCGTATTATATCACACATGAAATAAGTGTGCTGTGTGTGTGTTTAGCCAGAGGGAAGGTAGCCCCAATGGGCGTCTGGTGTCTCTGCTGTTGAGGTGAAATTTAGACAGTGCGGTACCACAGCTAGTCTGAGGTCTTCAATACGACCGCACGTCGGTACGATACTCATCTAGATTGAAACGGGCAGGAGTGGGGATTCAAGGTATGATCCCTGGGTTCGCATTCGCATGTCGATGCTTTATAGATTCTAAGAGGTAATAGAAATAAGAATACGAAGATGGTTCTTCATCATCGTTGTGAAAGGCTTTCGGAGCCAACAGCGGGACGCTAAGTAGCTATAGAGACCCCTTACCGGGCGGTCCCCCCTGGGGTTCCCCCGTCATGGCCTGGAGCATCTTGAAGGACCTGGACGGGATGTGTCCGCCGGTGTACTTGCGCGGCTCGGCCTCGGCCTCCTGCATGGACGCCGGCACGTTGGGCTGCGGGAACACCTTTTCGGGGGTGTACACGACACCCCCTTGCGCCGGGGGTCCCGTGTAGCCCTGCTCGCTAGAAGGACCGCCCAGCTGGATGGTCATCTGAGTCGTCTTGCGCGGCTTGGGCTGTCCGGGCTGCTGCTGCTGTTGCTGTTGTCGCGGTTGCTGTTGCTGTTGACGATGCTGGAAGACTGACGGGGCCAAGGGAGCTGTCGAGAGAAGGACCACGCGCTGCTTCAACGACTCCACCTTTGGAGCAGCAGGTGAAGTTGATATTTGTTGCGCCCACGAATGCGTGGCTTGCACCAACGTCACACCGGCGGACATTGCGGTGGTTTTGCTGGTGAGGGCGTATCTTCTTCAGCATACATATCGCATCGCCGAATTACTTTTTCTAGGCAAGAACAAGTAGGAAAGACCGCATTCACAGTGCACTCCCTACAGAAAAAAAAAAAAACAAAAAAAACTAGCATAATTTTTTACATTATGAGTTATGGAACTAGAAATTTAACTGGAATTGTTTCCGGAAACCTGAAATCCAGTTTGCAGACAAAGGATGAATTTCAGAAAACCAGAAATCCAGACAGACTCCAGTTATATTTCCAGTTCCACAATCCAGATAGTGACGTCACGTGCAAGCCACTTACAACCGTATGCGGAGCGCAAGTTCGTCTGCTTTTTGCACAGGGGTTGCGATCATGCCAGAATGCCAGAATCTTATTGGCTAATTGAAACAAACAAAAAAAAACCTATTGGGTAGATTTTAAGGCATCTAGCATTGACGTCTACCCACTCTCCTTTCAATCAAAGCCAATCAGAGCTCGACGTCGTTCTGACGTCACCGAAACTCCTGCGCAAGACGCAGACGACTTTCTCTCCGCATAGCAACCATGCTTACCACGCACATATGTATGAACGCGTTCTTTTCTGTACACTACGGGACATGGGACAATACCCACGTGATCGAACACCTGGTAAAGAACGATTATTACTTAATACGTCTAGCTGGAATACGCTATACAGAAACGAGGGACGAATATGTTTTGGGTGAAGTAATCGCCATCGAGGGCTCCCAACTGTGTGTAAAGGTCATCAGGTTGTTACGATGATTTGCGGAATTTGAAGAAAATTTCCCGGAGCAGGCACACTCGTTCGAGGGAAGTTTTTGGGCACGCGAGAAACCTCCATTAGACCGGGTCAAGGAGACTTACAACCACAACATTTCCGTCTAAAACTGAAGTTAAAAATGGAAGTGGGAAATAATTTTCAGAGGAAATGACGCGAATCATCCGCGAGCAAAAGTGGCGTGTGCGCATCTACAAGGACGAGAATCCCCAAGTTTTTTTTGTTCTTTTTTAAACGTGAATAGAGTCACTGTCACGACTTCCAGCGCTTCACGTGTCTTTCGTCTTAAATGCGGGCAGGATAAATTCTGGTAAAGTACGCCCACGGTTGTCAATACATTATCGGCCGCCTCAACCTTAGTTATGCCGGCCATAAGGAAAGTTGCAATTGGTGTCAGAGATGTTCGGCGTGTTCTTCGCTTTTGTGCCTTGGTGAGTTTGCCGTCAAATAGCGGTCTTGAAAACACGTTTGTCCTTCCTCGAAGCCCCCGCGGTAGAAAGTTATTTCGGACAAAACGGACTGGAGAACTTATACGCGAATATCACGCGGAAATAAACGGCTCCGCATTAATATATTCCAGCTAATTCCTTTATCTTTTGGAAGTCGGTAGATGTAATCAGAATTTGAGGTTGCATCATTTACGAGCGAGGCAGAAGAAGTGTTTGCAGTGCGCTACCCAGCAGATAAGAAATTGAAACTGTTCAGGAGGAAGAGTGCGCATATTTTATTTTTATCTTTATATGACCAGAAACTTCCGGTCTGTAATGACGCACGCGATAAAGGAAGTGTGCTATAAGATACGAACCCAATTAATAATAAATACTAATGAGGTTAAAAAGGAAAAGGAACGTAAACCGCCGATTGTGATCCGACGGAAGTCGCGGAGTTTAAACAAATATGAACTAACCGTGTTTTCACTTGGTCGGACCTAATGAAGTCTTCGGTGACTACCCCAAAACGACACTCATTGTTTCTATTAAATCACGTCTTAAAAAAAAAAAAAAGAAAAGAAATGTTAGTTATATCGCTGCAGAAAAGATCGCCCGGCTTGTAAATTCCGTCAGACACAATAAAGGCGCGAAAGCGCATCATGGCATTTGTGTCCAAATTTAGCGAAAACATTTTCCCGCTAAATTTAACGCGTACATTGCGACGTCACATCACGTGGCACTGTAGCGTCACGTAACACCATGACGTCACGTGGCACTGTGACATCACGTGACACTGTGAGTCGGGTACACGCTGTGACTTCATATGACACCATGATGACACCACGTGGGACTGTGACGTCATGCAGTGAGGCCAACACGAACAAGAAAGGTCCGAATCATTCCAACTGCAGGGCTCGGCGTTCCGACGTCACCGCGCTCTGGCGTCTCCTCCTCTCCCCCTGTTTTCTGGCACATTGCTTTAAGAAGAAATGCCGGTGTTGTGTACTCACTGCCGTCCGCACCAGTCATTTCCTGAAGCACCTTGAATGACCTGGACGGGATGTTGGGACCTCGGTACCGCGGGTTGACCGTGGCATCGTCCAGCTCTTCCGGATGGTTGCAGTACTCACGAATATCTGTAGGAATAATAATGATCGTCACGTCTTCGAAGCGATATCTATGGTCCACTATACTCGCATTCGTCGTTACCAAACACTGACCTTACACGTGTCTAGCCCAATGCAACAAAGACAAAACAAAAAACAACTCAAATTTGCGTTCTACAAAATTATTTGGTCGGCCAAATAGGCGCGTACTATAAACCACCTGTGCATTCCTTGGGCTTAGCTTTAAGGTTATTGCGACATCTTCCGTATCCCCGAGCGTTTATGGCGACGAGCGCATACGCACGAAGAAACATTTGGCACAAAAATAGTCACTAAGTGCGCTCGCCAAAGCTTCAGGCGCGCGGCTCGAGATTCCGTCGAGAGCTTGCCAAATTCGAGAGGCCCGCAAACAAACGCAAACCAAAAAGGGTCGTGTAACGATTTTATTACATATACCTTGGAACGAATACTTTCCAGTCACGTTTACAGGCACGACGACGGGTCTATCTCCACTTAATTATAATAGAAAAAAAATCCAATTATAAAGTTACTCAGCGGATTAAAAACGAGAGCTCCGAACTGTGGACTATGGAATCTGCCAGCTGACTAGCTATACCATATTGAGCAGCGAATTCGGACATCGCTGCTTCCCATTGGCCACCGCAGTCATTGGATTTTCCTCTCATGAGTGCAACCAATGAAAAACGCCATGCTCCAATGGTCATGCGGTCTCAGTGGAGAAAGGGGTGGACACCCTTTTGCCTCCCTTTCTCCACTGAGACTGCACGACCACCACTCGGGAGCGATATCACTCGCCCCCCCTGTTCGATAAACTGATCGATCGAAAACTCAAACATAAAAAAGCTAGTCTAAGCAGATAGGAGGGACTTGAAAACTCCAAACTATGAAGGTTTTTTGGACTGTGACCTTTCTCTGGACAAAAAAGCATACACACACACACACACAAAAAGAAAGAAATTAACATACTGGAGGTTTGCGCTGCGGATGTAAAGGGGAGGCGGGGGCTTCGTCAAGTAGCGACATGCTGCTTTTTTTCCCTGCCTTCCCCTCTCAGATGGAGAGGAAATAAAATTGATTGAAATTGATTGAAATTTTTCCGTCATACCTTCCTATCAGCGCTTTTACGCCCCATTCTGACCAACCGGGAAACTATCCACCGCTAAGGTACAACTATATAGCTTCTGTAAAAAATTGTCGGGAGCCCATCGCGACTTTACTGCCGTCGTCTGTAATACATGTAGTTCTCTACCCTCGAGGAGTCAGTGGCCCGCGCTCACCGGGCGGAGGCTCCTGCTGGAACTGCTGCTGGCCATATCCCTGCTGCGGGTAGCCCTGCTGCTGGTAGCCCTGCTGCTGGTAGCCCTGCTGCTGGTAGCCCTGTTGCGGGTCGTCGGCACCGGTCATCTTCTGGAGGACTTGGAAGGACCGCGACGGGATCTGGTCCCGGCGGAGTCCAGTGAAGCGCATCTCATCTTCCTCGCGAGGCCGCGGAGGCGCTGCTGTGAGGAGACGTCAGAAAACAAAGGGAACACCTTAGCGTACACCCAAACATTTGGAAAAAGAACAAAGGATTTGCCAAAGGTCAGTCTTCATACACTGTCTGAAGCGTGTTTCTTCCTTGTATGGATAGTCGTTGGCCATTCAAAAACCGTCTTTAGAAATGTTCGAAGTCCATACGTATGTATGAGACATAACATTCATTGAACATGAACGAGGCGTGTACACGCAGATCATTCTTTCATGATGTCTACAGACTGTGTCTCTGGTATGATGTGCACGAGAAGTGTGACCGGTGCTTTGTAACCCAAAGACGCGAAGACAGAAACAAAACAAGAGACACGACGTTGTTGGCGGAACGGCCTTCCGAGTAGTGAGATGTCTTCGAGGGCCGTGTGTTTACGTCGTGCGTTCCCTGCGTTATGATGGCAGACCTCGAGCCGGTCGCTCTCCGTTTCAAAACCGGACACAAAGTGTGGGAAATTCTTTCTTAACGAGATATTGCCGGCAAGAGCTTTCCCGCAAGAAGTCGTGAAAGTTTGTTCGTACGCCAACTCGTGTGTTTACGACGTTAGGTCAAGGCGATGGCTCCGGCTGTGGAACAACGGATACGCGTAGATGCTTCGCTATTTGAGAAACGGTTAAAAAGCGCTCGCGCAATGACCCTATGTTCCTGTGGGGGAGCGCGCGCGCTTGTTTATGAACAATGAGTCGATCTACGCACGAGCGGAAAATTGGCAAAACAATCTGGAGAAATTCACGTACAGTCGCTGTATTTCGAAGGGTGTGAGCTCTGAATAGCTGGTACCGTAACCGCAAACTTCAAGTGCAAGGCTTGTCTCTTGATATATATGTAAAACATTTTTCTTTCCGCCCGCGCCAAGTATTGCAGGTTAGCAGAGGTGAAGTATCTTACACAAAGTATATTTTACGGTCTGCTGGATCGAAATGCTATACGCAAACACACCGTATTCCCTGATTTAAAACCAACGTTGCTAGTATTTCCGCTGCAAAATCTTAGCTAATTCTTTATACAAAAGATTGACATCTAAGCGGCCAAATAAAACCAAATTGGTATTGTATATATGCATATATATTATACACGAAGTATACCTTCTTCTACGCACCCGCGCAATAGATTTTTCTTTTAAGATGATTTGCTTGTATGCGAAGAGAGTTGGCATACGCCTTTTTTTTATCAACAACTGCCGAACCTTTGATTTATATATATATTAAAAAAACAAATACGATAACACGCTTTTCAAAAACAATACAACATCTTTTCGGCCAACAATTCGCCAGTCCCCAAAATAGACTCCATCCGCAACAGCTCCCCCGCCCAGAATCTAAGCATCATTACACACATGGCCACGAGCGCGGAGGAACTTGCACAGACTTACTCTTCGTGTAGGGCACGTAGGGAGCCACTCGCACGAGCACTTTCTCCATCTCGACCCTCGTGGTCGACTGCACACCTTTCGCTTTCAACTGGATAGCCTCGACGGCAGGGCAGACCGCGCGGCCCGACGCGGTCTCTCCCCCCACCCTCGCCCTTACGGCTGTCCCCGATTGACAGTTCCAACGTTACGTGAAAGCGGCAGAAACGTTTCTTCGCATCCCTTTTTTCCTTCCTTCCTCCGCGTCCAGTCCAGCGGCGTGCCTGGCAGACAAATGATCATCGCCCTCGCGGCGGCCACCAACGGGCGCGCACGCGACTTGGCCAGCTCGCGCCACATCGGTAGAACAGCGCGCGCGTTTGTTTTAGCGCGGGAAAAGTGGTTTAACGGCGCCAAACACTTCCCGCGCAAAGTGGCTTCGCCTTCTTCGCGGCATGGCTGGCTGCGAGTCGCGACTAATACGCTCGTTAGTTGCGCAAAGAAACGAGGATGCGCTGCCGACCGACCGGTCGGTTTTTGTGCGATGTACGAAGTGCGCACAAAGCGTTCGTTGCCCAAGTGAAGGACTTCTTTCAGAATGGACCGAGCTTCGCACTTTATGAAAGGAATTCAAAGCGGGGCTGAATGCTCGCTCTCATTAACTCTATGGTACAGTTCACCGGAGATTTCATTTCTTCTGCAAGTCCGCGATTCTGGACATTGAGGATGTAATTGCGTAAACATGTTACGACTCCTTGGGCGACGTTCGCGTTCAAGGGTGGAAGAAAGCGTAAAGAACAAATGTGCAGATTTCAGTAAAGAAAAAAAAGACAGGCGTTGTGCGGTCACCCTTGAAATACGGCACACCTGGGCGCCACTAGATGGCGCAGACGTCTTGCTTAGCGTCTTGCCGTCATCCTCTACACATACACACAAACACAAAAAGAACGATTAAAAAAATTACGTGCGTCTTCTTTTCCTTAGAACACTCGAATAACCAATGACAAGATCTAGAAAAGGAACCTATTAAATGGCGGTGGACAAGGAAAAAAAAAAAAAGCTTTTCTAGTTATTCATTAATTCTACGATGTGGTACCGAGCCTCATTTGAGCGTATGGGACGTCATGCTCAAAATCGCGGAGGAGACATCATTTTTCGCGGGAAAAAATTCATTGGGCGTCGGTGCTTGACTCTTCCAGTGCTTTGCAGAAAATTGACGCACAAGGCTCAGTATGTATTAGGCTTGTGGCTATCTTAAATACTGTAGTCAAGATACTGTATTTCAAATACTTTTGGTAGTATTTTGGTATCTTGTAAATACAGTTAGTCTAGAGTATTTGCTACACTTTCTTAATTACATTTCTCTCTATCTTGTACCCAGTACCTCAAACACATTTTGCAATCTTGGAAAAAAAAAAAAATGGCCGGAACAATCTTTGGAATTAGGGATGAAAAGCCGGTGAGTTCACTTTGCCGCAGAACACGGAACTTGGTATTCGCTGGGATCCTTGTTTTTCGCCGTCGTTGGCTGTCGCCGTGCTCTGCAGGAAAGTTTTATTGATGCATTTATTTGTATTTATAATATACTGCGAATATGCCTTATTTATTATTATTATTATTCACTACAGTCAACGATCGAAGTATGCACGCAGACGTAGGGCAGTAAATTCCATTCGTCGATTGTCGGCACACAACATACGTATTTAAAGGTGCTATTTTGAAGAGTATACGGTCTGACATTTTTCGAGTGGATCGAACTTACCGAGCGCCAAGGAGGTGGCAAAGTGTACAGGTCTTTGTCTACAAATGCATTATTGAAAATTAAACAAAAAAAAAAAAAAAGCCTATTTTTGCAGCTTTTCGTCAAGCCTCAAGCGACTCGAGGGTGCGTTTACGTTCCACGCTGGATACTAAAGAGATCCGCCTAAAATCCCAGAAGAGCGAACTCACGTACATTTTTGGAGCGCGTAGATCAGTGACATCAAACCAAAAGGCCGAACAGACAGCCCGCCATCCTCACCATTGAGTCAAAGAACGAAGAAGAAAAGAAAGCAAGCCACATCAAAATTAAAGCGAAGCTAAACTCACATTAGGGGGCTTATTTTGAGTGAGAAGGCAGACGTCAATAGAAACAACATTCGTATACACGGCTAAAAGCTAACGCGGCAGTCGAAAACGGATCTAGCAGCCAGAGCACGAATCCACTCGATAGAGCGTACTGACGAAACAAGCGTCAAGAAGCCGTAATAGCGCAGTCTACGACGTAAACGCAACACGTGAAACGCAGTCTTTACTGGAGCATTCCCCGGCCTCCGACCGCGTTCGCGCAGACGCTCAACGCCGCAGGAATACGATAAATTCCAAAGCACAAGCAGCTTCGAAAGATAAATGATTGCCGCACGAACTATATAACGGCGTGCGAGAAAAGAAGAACACCAATACATTGGCAGCATCAACAGCCGCACGGCCCTAGATTATCTTCGAAGATTAAAAAAAAGAAAAAAGACAACTAAAGCGATAAATGGAAAGGGAACAAACAAGGACCTGTCAGCAGCAGGCACGGAAGCGAGGACACATCCGCACAAGATATACCCGAGAAAAAAAAAAAATATAGCAGCACGAAACCAACACGCTCACGACGAGAAAAACGAGCGCCAACAAACACTGCCACTGGATCGCGCGTTAGTATAGTTCATTTCATCTTATGATGGACCGCACCGGACGGTATACGAACCGACGGAGCCAATCCAATGGCTTGCGCATGTCACGTGATCTTCGCGAGGAGACCCGCACACAAATGCAGCCATACATGGCCACATCGAGAATTGGGCAAATGAGGCCAGTGGCCCTAAACTCGTGAAACACAAAGTTCGGGCCGAAAGTTCGCGGAGCGCACCGATTGGATGTTGGCGACAAAAGCGCCAAGTCATCGTCGTGATTGTCCAATCGGTGCGCTCCCTCAACTTCGGCCCCAACTTCGTGTTTCACGAGTTTAGGGCCCCAGGAGACCTAAACTCGTCAAACACAAAGTTGGAGCCGAAAGTGCGCGGAGCGCGCTGATTGGACGTCCGCGACAAAAGCGCAAAGTCATCGTCGTGGTTGTCCAATCGGTGCGCTCCGTCAACTTCGGCGCGAACTTTGTGTTTGACGAGTTTAGGGCCCCAGATATTCGTCCACGTATACACCCTATCTATACACCTTACTTGCCCAATTCTCGATACGGTCATTCATATAAGACATTTCTGAAGGCGCGCATAGTCACGTGACACGTTCGCAGCGCCCGATTGGTCGGGTCGGCCCGTAGCGTCGGTCGCGCTCCATCGTACGGCGAAACGGAGTTGTGGTAGCAGAGGGAGTCCGCATCCGCAATTCATCGCGTTCCGACGCTGGAACGAGCTTCGGGAAAGATCCAATAACCGGACCGGGGCGTGGTCGCGCGGGGTGCAGTCGGAGGCAATTGGCGTTAAACGAAGCCGCTCTGAAATTGGGGTCGTGTATGGCGCACGAGAGCGCGGTGGCTTACACAGCGGCGAGCGCGGAAGGCCCTACGGTACACGCGGATCATTGATGCGGACTCTGAGTGGCGGCCCCCGTGTAGGAAAGAGGGCAGGCCACCAAACACC